ACTGTACCACCAATACCTGCAAAGCCTGGATTGCCTAAGGCACAACCGTCAAAATTAAGGGTTATCACACCTTCACTGATGGAAACGGGATGCCTCAAGGGAGTTTGCTGAGAATGAGGCAGAAACAGAAAGGGGTGAATATTTCTGATAATATCATTGACTGAAARTCCTTTAAATAGATCTGAATTCACTGACCAAAGGATGCAAAGATAGGTAATATCTGAGATTAAATCCTCCAAGGTTCTGCTTTTATTGTCAAAGATACGGGTGTTTCTTTCATCCCAAATGCCCCACATTACTGCATGAGGCACTGATTGCCAAAAGACTTTACCCCTTTTGCTAAGCCCTATTCCTTGCCATCGATTCAAGTTGTCCATAATGTGTTTTGGAAAAGCCCAGCTGTACCCTGCCATATTCAAGAAATGGGACCATATCCTTTGAGTGAAGCTGCAATGAAGAAGGATGTGATCTGCAGATTCACCCTCGCTGAGACAAAAATACAAACATGAGGAGAAATGGAGCGTCTTCCCAAAAGGTTTTTCTGAAGGAGATCACAAGTATTAACTTTCTGGAGACAGGCTTCCCATACAAAGAAGCAAATTCTTGAGGGGATGTGACTGCACCAAATTTTCTTGTAAGGAAAAGAGGGATGCTGATCTTCAGCAGTCAAAGCCCTGAACATAGACTTAGAAGAGAATTCTCCATTTGGGTGAAGGGTCCATATTCGGGTGTCAGAATGAGAGGGGGATATATAGGCATCTTTGAGGGTTTGGATTAAAGCTATTAAATCAGAAATCTCTGAATCCCTTAGGGGTCTTCTGAGGTGGAGGTTGAACCATTGTGAACGTATAAAACACATAGGAATCTACAAGAAATAACAAAAATGGCATATTTGAAAAAGGCACATGTCTGGGCTGGGGTGCAAGGTGCATGCTTTTTTTTTGGAAGGGACCGTGCTTGGGTTCAGGTGAGGTGTATGCCTTAAAATGCACCTAGGAGTGCCTTTTAAGACACCATTCTTTGGTAGGTAGGAATTTTTTTTGAGCCTTGGTATAGGAATCTTGTATCAAGGTGACAGTAGCATCTCTGGGTCTTTAATGACCCATTGGGGATATAAACTCATCATTCATCACAAGTTGGTGAGGACCTTCTTATATTTTTCCGCCCATACTACTTAACAAGCCAGAATCTCTGCTTTAACCATTGAGGAGGGTTGGCTAATTTTTAGATTGTGTCAAGGAGCAGTAAGTCATCCTTCATGTCTTACTATCTGGAAAGTTTCTAGAGAACTGAACATAAAAAATGACAATCTGAAAAGTTCATTGTTGAAAGGGCCCTCTTTTGTATTTCTATATTTACAACTTCATACCTGAATAGCTTTTTTGTATTGATAGAGCTGCTTGTTAATAGTTTTCATGTATAACTGAATACCCTGTATGTATATCTGTTCTTTTCTGATGTATACAATGCATTTACCTCTCTCATCCCCCTAAAAAAAATAATAAAATAAAATAAAAAGAAAAAAGGAAAAAATCCCAGTTCATAATTAAAAAAGAAAAAAGGGAATTTTATACAATAGGAGATGTTGTTCATAACAAGGAAAAAGAACGGAGCATTGTTCTCAAGTTTATGTAGAGAATGCTCTTCAACCTTGTCAAATCTAAAAGCACATAAAAGGAGGGAAAGAAAACTTCATAGTTATGAACTTCCATTAACATGATTTGTAGCCTAAAGCTTTCAATATATCTCACTAAAAATTCAGCTCTGTTAAATAGTGTTTTCTTTGCAATACTTCTGCTATTTGTTAACAAGAAAAGTCAAAGAATAATTCAATGACATATGGATGTTATGCGCACCCATGTCCATGTCTCTATTGATCCACCTAAGTGCATACATATGTATTTAATATTGTGCATATATACACGTTTTTGCTAGTGAAGGAACATGGTATGCATATGCTGCTTTCACAAAGGGCTTATTGTTTATTCTCTTCCTTTATATACATGCACATTTGTCCACTGATTATAGTTTCAGATATATTTATGTATGCCAAAGAATGAACATCATGGAGCATGATTTATTTCATATTTGTACATTTATCTTATATTTGACCACCATATTTGACTTTGCATAACTGATGAAAAGAGTTTGAGTAAGCATATAACTATTTGTTCTTTTGAAGTACCTATACAGAAATTTTAACCATACTACTATACCTGTGAGGAGTAAATGCTGAACAAATTTTCCATTTATCTTGTTCAGGAAAAAGCCATTACCTTGTTTATTCTTTCCTTAAATTATGAGCTTTTTTTTTTTTTTATTTTTTCAGGATGGAACTATAATACGTGGTCAGAATGAAATATCTCATCCAACAAAGGGATCTATGGAACCTATAAACAAGGTACACATTTAGCGTTCTTGCCATGATTACTGAACCTATGGGTATGATGAGTTTGTAATTTTTATCTGAAATTTTAGTGGGACTGGTGACTCTTATCTGTCTCAAATTTTGCTCTCTCTCTCTCTCTCTTTCTCTCTCTCTCTTTGTAACTTTCTTTTCCTTAAATGGGTATTTATAACACATAATTGAAACTGAAAATGGAATTTTACTAGAACTTCCACATGTCTATTGCTTGATGTTTGACCATGAATGAATATTTTCCATGGGGTGAAAAATTCTTGTTCGAGAGGTTAAGGTCTGCAAGCTAAAGGGCTCCTTGTTCAGTACCTTGGACTTATGGAAAAATATGACAGAAGCTTCTTTGGTTTTAGATTCCTCCATATGCCACATTCAAATTTCAATGACTAATGAGTCACTTATAGTTTCTTATATTAGATATTTGCCAACTAACATTTTTGGGCAGGATGAGGCTAAGTGGACAGGAAAAACTTCGGTATTTAATCAAATTGAAATTGGAATTTTATCTTTGGAGTTGCATGATTCCTCCATTCATGCACCAATTTTACCCTAAGAATTTGTGGTTCTTTAGTCACAACTCACATATAACAGACGTGACAAATAGAATAGTCTCCTCAAGTGTCATTGTGGTTTTGGTGTCCACATGTCTGCCATGGGTACAGTGACCATTCTGAAGTGTCCAATTAACCTAGATGTCCAGAACTGAATGAGGTTACATACTTGCAGTATTTCCCAGGATTCCTGATTCTTTTCTGAAGGGTGACACAGAAGTGATGGGAGAGTAATTCCTCAGAAATGTATCTTTAGTCATGCAAGAAACAATAGTACCTTTTTACTTGAGTAAATCTTGAATGAGCTCATGAGCTAATTGCTGGTTGTGATGTTCAGTTTTTCTAGTTCATTGGTTCATGTTGTCTTTAGTGGGATTAGAAATTAGACTCATTTTAGTGCTGGATTTGTCTTGATAGGAATGTTCTTCGGTTCAGGCACTTCCTTCAAGAATAAAGCGAGTATTCTACATGTCAAGTGAGGGCAAAAATTTGTTGCATGAGGTGAATGGTGCTTCTTATGATTCATGTTTGATTGCCATATCTATATGATTTTGCAGAGTAAACTTTCCCTGATATGTGCCTTCAAGTTTCATTAATATTATTTTTCTACTGATTGAAAAAAAAAGGTCTCCTGATGTGTACCTATTATTATGCTTAATGATGGTTGTTTACTTTACTATACATTTATGCATTTTTTTTGGGAAAAGAGCTTTGACATTTTGAAAAAAAAAAGCTTAAGTATCCATTATTTTCATGATTGAAGAATGGTTTCTTTTATTATTTGCAAGGAATGTTTTGCTCATGTACCTATTGTCATGCTTTATGATGGTTGTTGACTTCATTATATATTAGATGCATTGTTTTTTGGAAAAAGAACATGATGTTTGGAAAAAATTGTTGCTTAACATTTCATTATTTTGGTGATAGAGGAATGATTTCTTTATTATTTGCAAGGAATATTTTGTTCATGTTCTGGGACTATACTTTTGTCATTGACATATCAAATGGTTATAGTGCCCCTCGGGTGAGCGTTCTTAGTACTGATTGAAAGCCGGGGAGGAAAGGGGGCCGAGCTGACTGATGAGTGCCTCGAACCGGTGAAAAAGCGAGACGCCCCCACCAGTCGAGAGTGGGTAACTCCGGAAGCCGGAGCTCTGTTTTATTCAAAGTGTTTGATTGCCTTTCTTACCAATTTTTCTCCCCCTAGGAAGAAAAGGCCAAGAGATTTCCCCACAGCTATGTCTGTCTACTAGTTGATCAATGCCCACTTTTCCTTTCTCGGAGCTATTTACCTTGAAGATTCCTTCAGCTTTAGTCCCCTCTATCTCCCTCTCCTCTTCTCTTCTTTCCTCTCCAGACTTATCCTGGACTTCAGTTTCCAAAGAATTTTTTGACCTTCCATTTCTCACTGTATTCCCCCCTGAATCAGCAATCTTCTCCTTCACAACCTTCTTCCCGACATCTTTCTCTTCCTCCAAATTACTTCCAGAGGACTTTATCATATTCATTTCTTCCCTCTCCCCTACAGATGCTTTATGGATTTGAAAATTTGAAAATCTGCCCTGAACCTTCCTTTCTGAGTCATCCTCTAAACAATTTGCATTTCCTCTGTCTTTCAAACAATTTGAAACTCTAGATTTAGCTTTAGTTCCTTTCCTCTTGTAGATTCTCTTGAATCTACAACAAGGACTGTCCCTGACCAATCCTTCCTTGAGACGATGAAAAACCTTAGTTACATGAACAAGCTGCCCATTGCTGGATCCTCTTAATCTTCTCAACTCCCCTGCATTGGGATTCTCAGAATTAGACAACTTCGAAATGCCTTCACTTCTCCTTCCTAAGTCCACCCCCAACTTTCCAACGAAGACTGAATAGTCGAACCTGCCTCACTAACCACGTCCTGGTTCAGATCCCTGCTGCTAGAATCGAAGGAGACAGTCTTATTCTCTGAGGCGATGAAACACATATCCTTTCTAGTACTTTCTTCCTTTACCAGAATTTTCTTCTATTTCGACTCTTTCCGGCATTCTGTCACCAGACTCAACCCCATCTGATATTCTGCAAACATCTTTCTTGGTGTGAACGGTTAAGTCCTTGACAGTAGCTCTTTCTTGTGGACCGTATCCCATGGTAAAGCTTGGGGAACTATCTTCTCTAAACATGCTTTAACCTTCTGACCATTAGAATGACTCAATTCTTCCAAGCTCACGAACTTCGTAATCACCCACTCCCAAGACTCCTTCCTCTTGCCATGGCCACCAAAGGTTCTTAAATTGTTACATTTAAAAGCTGTTACCTTTTTTTCCCTCAAAACTATGGTTGTATCCTTCCTCATCATTCTACCTCCATCGACATGCTAGCCTCTTGAGAATTTCTTTTCCGGTCTCCCACGGCTTAGACGAGAGTTACGAACAGTCTTCGAAGGGGAACAAAATGGACCAGAATTATCGTCCATTAAACTCAATTCCTTAGAAGTCACGTGCAACTCAGCTCATTTTAAACCGAGCTTCGAGCCGAATTCAAGCCCGATATATAGGCTCATTTGCTAATCGAGCTGAGCTCGAGCCCAATGAAGCCTAGCTCGTGAGGCTCGCGAGCCTAGTAAATAATTTTTATAATTTTTATTTTTCAAAAAAACTTGGCTTATAGTCGAGCTCTAACTTGCGAGCTATGAACTGAGCCAAGCTCGAGCTCAAGTCTCTAGCTCAAATCGAGCTTGATACTATTCCTGCGAGCCGAGCTCAAATAACCAAGTATTCGGCTTGGCTCGGCTCAAATCCACCCTTAGCCTTGACTTTTCTCCTTTTGGGCCAACTGACCTATATGACCCAAATCGACAACCTGATGGATAAAACCCACCCTGCCCATCTATTCACAACACTGCCTCTCCATCTTTCTCATAATTGCTTTGGAGCAGGCGAGACTCGTTCACAGAATTCCATCGTTCCACGTTGGTTCCACTCCCTTGTTCTCAATCTCCCTCCACTCCCTCTCCTCTTCTTCCACCTGGGAGCCGACTCGCCATGTCATCATCTTCCTCAGGCTCTCTGTCGATCCTCCAAAGCGATGCTTTAGTTACTGGCACAATCCAAACCTTGTGCCAATGACCATTCACTTGCAACTCCACAACTCTAGGAATAGCTTCAGGACGTACCTCTGTGATTCCAATTCTTGCAGTGCGAAGATCCTGAATATCAAAATCAACCAAAGATCCTCCGATGGCATTCACAATACTCTCAAACACTCTTATCGCCCAGAGATTGAAAGGGAAGCCCAAGAGCTTCAACGCTATCATTTTGACTGTGAGATTCATACTATTGCAGTTTGGAAACCATCGTTCCACTGAAACCAAGCCAACACAAGTTTCACCTGTCTGCAACTTGTCTATTTCTTCTTCAACTTCAACGATTGCCTTTTTACTGTCAAAAGGCCTGATAAACGAAGGGGCAAGTCACACAATGACCACTTTTAAACAACTAAGATAAGGCCTTGTTAAGTCCTTAAGTTTGCTGGACTGGGTGCAGGTTATTAAGATAGTCCCAGTCACAGCTTAAAAAAAATAATAATAAAGAAAAAAAAAGGACTTTCTTATAAGCCCAATCAGTCCTATTGGTGGGCTGAAACATTTTAATAAAGAAAGGGGCCTGCAGTCTAGTTTAGTGAACAACAGGCCCCAAGTTATTTGGGCTTATTTGTAATGCAATAAGCATTTAATGGGCCTATAGTAGAGCCCATTTAATGGAACAACAGGCCCTAAAAGAATAAATCCATTTTAATTAATTTCTTGTGAGGTGTCCCACTTATTTGTAAGGGGATGCCACTTGTCCTATTCTAACAAGAGGRCTATTTTCCCTCCTTTAACCACTTGAAGTGGGGGGACACATGCCACCCTAGGGGAGAGAGTTATTTTCCCTCCTCTAACCACTTGAAGTGGGGTGACACATGTCACCCTAGGGGAGAGGGAGTTATTTTCCCTCCTCTAACCACTTTAAGTGGAGGGACACATGTCACCCTAGGAAGAAGGATTTATTTTCCCTCATTTAACCACTTGAAGTGGGGGACACATGTCACCCTAGGGGAGAGAGAGTTATTTTCCCTCCTCTAACCACTTTAAGTGGGGGGACATATGTCACCCTAGGGGAGAGAGTTATTTTCCCTCCTCTAACCACTTTAAGTGGGGGGACACTTGTCACCTTTGGAAGGAAGAGTTTTCTTTTTCCCTCTTTAACCCATTTTAAGTGGGGTGACACTTGGCACTCTAAGAAGAGAGGAGTGGGGAGTTACTTAACTACCTTCCTCCTCTATATAAACCCCTTTCCTACAAGAAGGGGCTAATGCCTTTTTGTTGGCTATTACTATTTGTTTGCAGGATTTCTAGCACTAAGAAACAAGTGGGAAGAGAAAAGGGAAGAAGATTGGTGTGGAGAGCATAAAAGAAAAAGGAAGAAGAAGGTAGGGAATCTTGTTTTCTTCCTACACCTCTTCAATATGATACTCATTGTGCTTCTCACATGAGATGGAAGACCATATTCTATCAATTCCTCTCACTCCTTCCTTTCTTCCTTTTATTTTTCTTTTATTCCTTGTTTCATACTGAAATACATGTAAGCAGACAACCATCTACAGCCTTGTTCATGAAACTTGGCTGATTATGGTTCCTYACAACCTATTAACCTATGTGTGAGGGGGAAAACCATCTACAACCTTGTTCATGAAACTTGGCTGATTATGGTTCCTTACAACCTATTAACCTATGTGTGAGGGAGACAACCATCTACAACCTTGTTCATGAAACTTGGCTGATTATGGTTCCTTACAACCTATTAACCTATGTGTGAGGGGGAAAACCATCTACAACTTTGTTCATGAAACTTGGCTGATTATGGTTCCTCACAGCATGATAATGCACATAACCACAATTTAAAGGCCATTTGTAGCCTTATTGATGAAACATGCTTTTTATGATACCTATTTACTTGTTATGCATACAATGTTTGTTTCTTTATTCACTGGATTTCTCTCAAACAAAGAGGGAATATATACCAGAATTTTCAAAGGAAAATTCAGTAGAAAAATGATACTTAGTTTAGTCTCCATTCATTGGTACTTCTGAATCAGAATCAAAATGTTTTCTCTGCCCCTAACAGAGATGTAATTAAGGGAATATCTATGTGATTTCCCGAATGGGGCTTACCCAAATAACAAAAAAACCCAGTTATTAGTCTAATTGGGTGAATTATGTTATGTGAGAAATTATACTAAAAAAAAAAATTTCCAGTAACAGGTCTACACAACATGAAGCAGGTATGCATATCTACACAACAGACAATTTTATATCACTGCTTGATCTTACAAACTTAGGATTTTAAATACAAGTCATATTCCTTTGATACATGATGGTCTTATAAAATAAGAAAAGTAAGATAAAATAACCAAGGATTAGCACCTAGAGGAATCGGTAGGAAGCAACATATAAAAGCTTCTTAAAGGTATTGACAACATTAAGGGTATGCCTACCTTCCCTTTCCTTTCCCTACTTCTTCCTTCAAACCAAACATAGCCTAAAGAACTCTGGCATCCAGACCAAAGATGCTAAAGACAAATGTTTAGCTTTGTGGGACAAATTTGTTTAAAAGTAATATTAAACTAGTGCTTTCTAAAACTAATCATAAAAGCAATGTTCTGAAAATCGTAATCGTATCGTAAATTGTAGAGAAAATTGAATCGAATCGTATCGTAAATCATAAGATTATTTCTATTTTTTACAAACTTGTCAAAAAATTAATATAGATATATTAAAAGGCTAAAATAGGAAAGTGACTTTTACCCTATTTTTAATCTATATCTACCATATATGTACTTAAAACAATATAACTTACCACTTATACAATAGAAGCCTAAGATGATATAATGAAGTTTGAATTTTAAATCAAACAAATCTACATACAATGGCTCTTTAACCTATATGATGGAAAATAAAGCCAATTTCTAGTCTTAAATAATGTACATAAATCATTTTCTAGTAAGGGCTTTAAAAAAATGTCTCTCTTGGCAAAACTAAATATAAACAAAAAAAAAATCAACATAGAGAACTAATTCTTAATTGAATTTATTTGAGTCAAAGTGAATTGTAGAAATCATAAGATTTATGAATCAAATCGTAGCATTCAAACAAAAATCGTAAGATTTTTGCAGAAAAGGATTCAAATCAAAACCCTTGGGATTCATGATTCAAATCGTGAATCATATCGTAAATTGTAAGATTTTGACAAATAAAAGTACTACTAAAACTCAAACTCAAAAACTTGAATAACCAAAATATAGAAAATTTTGCCACAGACTTGATGGTTGTGAATAAATTGGACATCAATTATTTTATACTTGGATCGTGTGATCTTGTGCTTGTTGGATAGAACCTGATAACCATTTTAATGTAACCAAAAACAATCCTAATTGGTAAAGTTTTGACACTTCAAATTTAGAAGAGTAGAGTGAATTTGAGACTGTTCTTTGTAATTTCAGGTTGAAGCTTAAGTAATTAATCTACAAGTTTGAATTTTAGATCCTTTCTATTCCACACCAGCCTGCCAATGAGTAATTTTCCCCTCGATTTATTCTACATATCTAATGTTTGTAGGTATTTTGGTTTCTGATAGTGTTATGTGATATTCATGCCTTTTCTTTTTTTTTCTTTTAACATTTAATATGAAGACTTACCAAAAGAAGATGCTTATTTTTCATGGTGTATTCCATAATTTTGGCAATAAGAAGTTTTAATTTCTTCTAGAGTTTAATTATGTATTTTGATTTTCATTTGCAATTTTTAATATCTGCAACTTCAATCATTATCATCACTTTCACTGAGTAGGTCTTCCCCACAGCCAACCCTACTGTCTTGGAGCAGTTGAGTGAAGTAGATTGCATTGTCTATGCTATGGGTTCACTTTTTACTTCCATCTGCCCTTCACTGGTAACATTCTAGACCTTATTTTCAATCATATGATGACAGTTGTTTAGTTATTTGAAGAACTTACTGATATTATTTAAATGGGTAAAAGACTTAAACCTCCCTTGAAGTTTATGCTAAATACCAAGACCTCCCCTCTCTTTTCTAAATGGACTAAGAACTCCCTTGTGATATGACATCATCAGACATATACCTCCCTTCCCTTAGTAATCTGTTAAGATCCTGTTATATAAACTATTAAATTTTTTCAAGAAACCCAATATTGCCCCTCTTTTTGACAACTGCAAGACATAATCTATAGAAACAGTTTGGGAGATTGAAGAAAGTAGCTGTATACATCCCATGAATTTCTTCTACCAAACTACAAGACGGAATCTATGGTGTGACTTCTCACACAAACAGCAACACTTACATCCAAAAATCCTAGTAGCATTGTTCACATGAACAAGAAAACTGTAGGTAGGTTGAAGAACAGTTCATAATGAGAATCCCTAGAACCATAGGATGGAATCTTGTAGCAAGACAGAGGACTATTGGTGCTAACCAAAGAACTACAGAATCAGCTTACCATCAGAAGGATTGTTGAGTCTTTCATCCTCTGTTCTTTTTACTTTTTTTACTCAATGTTATAGATTGAGAGTGCATATAGAGCATTGGAAGGAATTGAAAGACAAGTGATTCCTATCTATTTGAATGGCTTAATTAGAAGCTTTGTTTTAGTGTGGTTTTCATAGGATTAAGAAGTAGCTGTTACAAATATACTAGGATTTTCTATTTAGCAAAATAATATCTAGGAATTTCCTTCCAGATGGATGTATAGTTATTATAAAATCTTGGTAGTTTGACCACATGGTATATGGTTCTCAATCTACTAGTTCCTTGAATTGCCATGATTGATTCATTTAACATAAACAATGTGTTTCTGAGTGTTAACCATTCTCCGTATCATCTCTTACTACCCCTATGTTTACCCTACTAAAATGATATTCTCTATTAGAATAAGAAACCTCATGATTTTAGCTTGTACTCCTTGAAGCAAAAAAAAGAAAAAAAGAAAAAGAAAAAAGAAAACGTGGTTATTTTGATACTCTGCTCCTAGGTTTAGCTTTATAACTGGATGGAATATCTAAGACTTTGGTTTGCTGCCATTTCAAGCTTTAAATCATTGGTTGAAAATGTGAGCTTTATTACTATTTCATTACAGGTTTGAAAAAAAAAACCTTCAACATGTTTTTGGATGATTGTATCCAATTATCCAAAAACCCTTGCTCTTTACGAACCAAAAAGTCCTGTCATCATGCTTCCCGTTTTTGTTTTTTGGTCTTCCAAAACACTGAGGTCCTTTAATCTGCCCCAAATTTCTTGTTCATTTCAGGCCGAGGCTCCTGTAAGGCTGTAATCTACGTCTTACAACAAGACGTAACACTGATCATGAAAACTGTAGCTGTGGTTTTCTTTGAAAATTTGAAGCATAATGAGGGATAAAAATGTCTTTTCATCAATTTTGTTAAATATAGCAGCACCTCATTATGAGAGGGGAGGTTTAAATCCTATAAAAAATTAGAGGGGAGGTGTTAAGTATTTATGAGAAACCTCAGGGGGGGGGGTTTAAGTCTTTTACCCTATTTAAATTTGGTTGTTTTTCTGAGTATGTAATATGTGCCATGTTTTTGGTATTTCCATGTGTCTCTCATGGTCATAGATTGTGCAAGCATTTCCATAGAGGTAATGATATACATAATATAAGGTCTACCTGTAACATCAAAGTTATTTTGATCATTAATTCATTCACTAGATTTGCTTCTTTTCCATTGCAGCATTAGTTCAGCAATTATTTACATTGTATATTAAGTGTGCCACCCAAACAAAGGGGACCTGGGTAAGCTAGAAGAATCTGTTCATTATAGTTTTCTTTAGGCAGTTTTTTTTTTAATACAAATCCAACTTCATACTCTTTCCACAATTGCCAGCAACAGTGAGGAATAAGAGTACCTGTACTGAAAAGCTGATTTCCACCTTGAATTCTTACTTGTCAAGTCCTGTGCCTATGGTCAGTTGGTTGATTAGGGAATGAGGCACCTGTATGGCCAATTCCTCTCCCCAAATAATGTAATCTGGGATTTCTTGGCTCTCTTCCCCCTTTCATTTTTTTTCCCTTGCAGCAGTTACACTTGGAAGGCAAAGCTATTTTGGGCTTGGACACATTTTCTTCAGTTAGTGATTGGCTGAGTATAGCCTTCCAAGAGAGAAAAGAGAGAAATTCCCTTACATCTGATCTGTTTACTTCATTTCCCTTTTCTGTAAACTGATGTCTAATGCACTTCCAAGCTGACTTGAGAGTCAATTTCCCATTATTAGACCTTCACACCATTCTATCTGGTTTTACCATTCTGGGTCTGCTGTGATACTTCTGTTAATAATTTTATTATCCATAAAAAAACACTCACAGTACCCTTTATTTTCCTTTTCTTTTTTCCTTTAATTATGTACAGATCATGTATAGGGAGGACAATTGTTCTATATTTTCTTCATGCTTGTCTTGTGTTCAATTTTGATATCAAGCCTTTAAACATTTAAGAAGAAATGCCTAAGTTCATTCAATTCTTGTTGGCAACATAGCATTATAGATAGTTACTCATTGTATCTTGGTCTCTTGTAAATAAAGAACTTAATAGGATGTAGGTTGCTCAGAGTTGTGACATATTCATTCTTTTTCCTATTCTAATTTATTTTGCAACACTTTTAGGTATTACTTGGGATTGGGGAGATCATTTCCTCAAGATCTTGTCTGAAGGTAATCTCTAATAAAGCAACTCAAGTCAACAAAGCTTTATCCCATCTTTATGTGGTCGACTACATGAATGCTATACTGCCATTCCACTCTATTTATTGCCATGTAATCAATCTCCAATCAATTAATGAAGTAATTATCACTTTATAAAAAATTAATGATGTTATGGATGTATTACTTCAAGTTCTTTTGCTTGTTTATTTATATCATAAGATGAGAACTTTTCTTTTCTTTTCCCTGACCAGCTGTGTCAGAGATTAAGTTCTATTACTAAGGGGCATTTAGGACCATACTGAAGTAAAGCAGTACTTTTTAGTTTCTTTTTTTATCAATACAGTACTTTTTAGTTTCCATAGATTTCAACTCACAATTTGATCCTTTAAAATGGAGTTGTGTCACACATCACCACAGTGATGATTAAAAGTTGAATAAGTTAATTCTCTGAAAACCATAAACTAGCCTTCTTTAAGGAAGGTTTTGTGTGATGGAATAACATCCTGAAACTTTTGTGCTTGCATAACATTCTGTGATGCACTAACTTAAGCACGTTCTATCAAAAACAAATGAAATGTTTCCATGATTGTATGGTTTTAATTGTCACCTATATTAACAAAACTCTTGAGAATTTTGAAAGATCTTTAATGAAGTTATCATTTCCAATAAATTTGAATGGCTGACATGAGACATGGATGTGAGAGTTAGTTGGGCTAAAAGAACAGCTAATGGTTTTGCTGATGCCTTGGCAAAACTAATGGGTGGGAAGAAATCAGTTGTTTTGGGCTCAGTTGTAATTTTGCATTATAATTTTGAGGAGAGTTTAAGAGTTTTTACTCTCCTCCTCTGTAATTTGCTTGTTCTGATTTAAGAAATTTGGAAAAAGTTACTGTTTCCAATAAAAAAGTATTAGGACTTTATTAATTCTAGTGAAATCTATTGAGTTCTAACTTGAAACACAGTTATATTCCTAATTATATCAAAGAATGAAAAAAATGATATCACTATAAATGCAGTGAGAGTGGTTATTGCTGTATTTACTGAACTGATTCAAACTCTAGGTACTCTTGTTGAATGGTTCACATGATCGAGAAACCAGTGGATTCTCTGCTTCATGCTTTGTAACTGCCATCACAGATGCTTTAAATAGAACATATGGAGATTCAAACAATTGTCTGAATAACCTTGTAAGTTAGTAGGTCAACTCCATAAAAGTTTTTACATTTCAAGTTAAATGGTTGTGTTGTTCTGCTTCCTACAAATCCTTACCAAGATTCCTTTATTCTCAGCCAAGTGATTACATCAATGCCCTGCTGGTGCCCAGGGATGGTCAAATTCCAGTAGATGTTCAGAATTTGGCTGCCCAAGGAATATTTCATGTGGTATTATACATATCTAATTTCTAATTATCTTCTATAGACATCTAGATTTAATAATGAAAAAAGTTCTATCAATTGCTGCCCCCCCCCCCCCCCCGAAAAAAAAAAAAAAGAAGAATCTTTTTGCTCATATCTGGAATTTCTGTCAAGTTGAACCAAAACATCTTCTATCCATTTTTTTGGGTAGTAAAATACTGGGATGCTTTACTGTCTAAATATGGGCTTAGCAAAGTGGGAGTTCATATTGAGCCCTAGGTTTTGCAGCAACTTAATGGATTGGGAGTTTGATTCTTTGGCCTCATTGCTGATTCTATGATAGTGTCATCACCTGTCATGCAGCAGACTTGAGGGCATGGTTATGGGATCCTTGTAGGTTTCCTCAGTAAATTTAATTTTCAGGAAACTTGAGTCCCAAGGGGAGGTCCTTCCAAGATTGCTTTCAGTGTGGATAACTGCTTTGGGTAGATAACATAAAAGACAAGTTGGTGAGAAGGGGATGACCACTTCAACAACTTCATGTATTGTTGCTTTCTAGAAGATGAGTCAGTGAATCACTTTTGCACAAGGTTCAAAGTATCAATATGCCCCTGTGTATTGGCAGAGGCGTATGTTACTTAAAACCACATGCCTTTGTTTTTTTTTTTTATTTTTTTTACAAAATTTTGTTTTTAGGCTTGTTATTTAACTATATATTTTATTAAAAAGAATGGGGTTCCCGAAACACCTGTAAACAGGTGTATCGGGACCCCAATGATATGATACGATACGCCCGATACGGGGCATATCGTATCGAAATTTTGAACCTTGCTTCTGCATTGTCAGTTTTGTTCCTCTTCTGTTACTTAACAGGTTTTCAGGGTGATGTGGTGCCTCCCTTTCATGATTCTGAAGACATTCTTGTCCTGGGAAGTATAGACTTAGTAAGATAAACAAGGAACCAAACCACTTTTGCTATATGTTGGTGTATGTGGAATTGTGGAGTGAAAGGAAAAGGAGAATCTTTTACATAAGATGCCTAATAAGTGCTCTATGCAGAAAATTGACAGTCTCAACTATTTTTGGTATTCCATTGTAGAAGAGTTTGGTGTGCCTGGATTTCATTCACTTTTTCAATCACTGGAATAGTATCATTTTTTATTTTCCTCAGCTAAACAGTTGTATATGCTGTGTGTGGTTTCTCAACCCCTCTTATAGTTTAATATATTAACACAATCACGTTCATCAAAAATGAAGAAAGAAGTGAGAGGTAATTAAGGTTATGGGGGATTATCTTTCCTTCTCTATCATGTGATCACATCTTTTAATGTTTGTACCTTAAAAAATTGTTCAAGCTATGTTCCAAGAAGGCTGTGGGGATGGTGCTTTATGGCTTCTCATCCACAAGGAATTTGAGGAAGTATAGACTCATTCATATTTGGCTTGATTTTGTTTTTTTGTTTGGATAGATGGTATTTTTTTTTTAATTTCTTATTAGGCCTGATTATCTGTTTTGCTTTTCCATTAAGGATTGAAAAGTGCCTCCCTTGTGTAACTTCTTGTTGCACATTTTACCCATTATACCTTTTCCAAAGTGTGTGTGTACATAAATATATTCCCGTAATATTTTTGCATCCACTAAGAAAATATCAGAATGTAGGTGAATTCGTGAGTATTGCCTATTTTTTGAACTATGTCTAGGATATGTTTTGCCTACGTGAGTTTTTGTCTAGGATACGGAATTGTAAAATACACTTCTTCAATGTAGGATTGATTATAAATCTCGTCTTCCTTTTGATTTCTGTTGCTTTATACTTTGATCTTCAGATTACCTCTAGATCTAATCAGTATAATAGTATATTAAATATCACCACAATGTGGAAGTTCCAACAATATTAAACAATTGTTTGGCTCCAATCTTGTCTTAAACTACACCACTGGTCATAGAGAATTATTTTTTTTTTCCTTTTGAATTGATTATGACAAAATCAAACATACTCTATTTGCGATTAATGAGATCTATTGGTGTGATCCCATTATTGCAGATCACTGTTGATTCCATTTATGATCCCAAAGTAGGGCCAACTTTTGATTCCAAGTCACTAATCAAGGCTCTCACAGATTTGATTGGTGAATACATGAGCATGCTTTAAGTACCATTTCTGGTATCTGGGAGAAAAGTGAAGAAGAAATATGAAGTGGTGTCTCTCTAACCATGCCTTTTCACAGGGTCAATTTGGCTTGATTCTTTACAAGGTGCAGTTTTAAAACATAGAGTTTCAATATAACTGTAGATGCTGTTTATTTTATTACACTAAATTTTGCTAGGGTTTGATTGCAATTAGCAAAAGATGAAATATATTATTCCTGTTCAGTTTTTAGGTGTCACTGCACAAGATTAGATGAAATGTATGATTCCTGTTCAATTTTGCTAGGGTTTCATTGTATAATACTGCTTGTAAGTGCAATTGTTTGATTATCTACCCATTTGAGGTGATATGTAGGAGAAAATACAGTAATTTTATTTTGACTTGAATTCCATTGGTTGACTGCAACAATTTTCTCCATTAAATGCAGTTTTAGTGGATGCCTTAGCTAGAGGTGTTTCAATTTAGTAGCTTCAATCAAAAAGAAAAAAAAGGCCATTGTAGCCAGAATTCTTTGCAATATGATTATCCTTCAAGTCTCAACTCCATTAGAGATCAATCAATGATACCCTACCACCTCAAAAGCTCAAGGGGAGGGTTATTAGTGTATTCAGTGTATATGATATTTATGTTTCATATGCTGAGTCAGCAATCTGATTGTAGATTAGCACTGATAAAACAAATCTGATTACAACTTATAAAAAAAACAAGATCTGATTACAGATAAGCTCAAGTGGGTTTTTCAGTACAACTTGTGCATTTCTCAATTCAGCTATTGGGTAGTAGATGTTAGTTATCAATTAACAGTTTGGTGAAATTAAATTACAAAAATGCATTCTCAAGGGAACGCATAAATACCCTCATGAAATGAATTTCTATGGACACTTCTTGTCTTTTCATTAGAGGGTGTTTTCCTAGTAAGAATTTTTGGATGTCTCCCACATAGTATGCTGAGTACTTACCTTATGTGTAAATCTAAAAATATGAGAAACTTTGTATATCGATGAAAGGTATAAGCTCCTGTTGAAAGTTGCTACAAGGACTATGTATATTTAGATATGTTAAATGGATATAAAATGTAAGTTTTGCATAATACTTTTAACTTTCATACTTTCAATATGTTAATGTTTTTTGGTTGGTAACCATCCAAAGCATTTTAGTGATTATGGAAAAGGAATGGTATGTAGAAGAGTTGTGACTTTATTTCCCAACCCCACACATTTTGCTTAAAGTTTTTGTCAATATTGATTCTTAAATAGTTCTTAATGCTGAAAACTTTAATAATTGAATTAAAGGGGTCGTGTTAAAATGTGATTATTATTGCATTCATAGTTTTGAAGGTGCCAAGGTGAGGCTAGGCGATAGGGGAGCATCTTGTCGTCTAGTCACCCAAGCATATATCCTAGGGTGGTTCCCTAGGTTCCATAACCACATTTCCTTAATAATTATCCATAATTTTCATAAGAAAAGTATAACCTTCATGTTAAAGTATAGAAAATGAACACATTCATAAGAAAAAGAAAGAAAAGAAAATTCAAATCAATATGGGGGCTGAACCCCTATTTTGTTATAGGAAAAGAATAAGAAAATACAGCATTTAGCAATGTTTTGTTGATTAAACCCTAACAAATAAGAAAATAATAAAAGGAAATTAGTATATAAACACACAAACTAAATATTTTAGTTTAATAATGTTTATTTTATAATTATAATCTCAAAAATTAAGAATATAAAAGTATTTTATTACACAATGTACAAAACTACTTGGCGATTAGGCGAGGTGAGCCTCCAAGAGCGCCTTGTCGCCTAGGTGTTGCCTTGACAACTATGATTGCATTTTAGATATTATGCTGGATATGTAGTAGCAAGATTCTTGTGCCTTTGATGAGTTTGGCCCCTACGATCAATATGAGACTGTTTTACCATTAAGTGACATTATAATAGATGGCATGAAGGAGAAAGGCAACATAAAATCATTGAACTAATAAAGAAAATAAAAGAAAATGAAGACACATGGAAGAACAGCAAAGAAAAAGGGGATGAAAAGTGGAAAGAAACGATCTAAAACAAGGCACAATTCTAGCAGTATCTTTTTGCCTACCCATGTGTAATGATGAGTGAAGAACAAACCTGATTAACTGAGGGCTGAGGGCTTTGCCTAGTAAAATAGAATGCTACTATGTATAGGAAAATNGGGGGGGGGGGGGAGACTGGTAAATATAACTACATAATGCCAACATTTCCTTTCATGATTGAACTCCTAGTCATTCAATTACATTGAAACCATAATCATGGAAATTTCTCCATCAATGTTTTCTTTTCTTTCGTCCATTGGGCTGAAATATTTAGGAACATGAAAAGAAATAGGAGATAAAGAACATTTGGAATTTTCAAATAGATTCATCTTCAAGGTTTGAATTTGAGTCACCTACAAGTGAGACCTGTTTCTCATTTGTTGTTTTGGCACTAAACGAGGGAGAAAATGGACCTCAACACTTTCATCACTTAACATAGAGCTCCTTTTGTGGCACTCAAAAGTTTGTTGAACTCTATATCAAACATGGAATATAGGATGGAAGATGGAGTCAAATGAAACACATTCATTTGTGTCTCTGCCACATGGCATATTATGATTAGGCAATGTGCTTTAGGGATGGTGTGCTAGGGTAGAATCTTTAATCTAATATATATTGCTTAAGTTATGTTTTGGTCATTTTACAAATTGATTAATAAATGCCTAGTGTTCCTTAAAATAAATTTGAAGTAGCTATTTGTGTATTAATTGTACCTTGTTTCTAGTCAGTCCCATAGTGAAATAAGTATTCCCTGTGTATGTGTGTTACTTGCATGCTTCTTGTCATTGGTTAGAATTTGATTGAAGTGCCAAGAGTCTGAAGGTTGTGACTTGTGGCAATATACATCGGTATGCAAATTCTTAAGCTTAATGTTAGGCTTCTTAGTTTTTATATTTTCAAGATACTTAAGTTATGTTTTGATAATCAACTGGTACAATTTGGAAGTTTTTTTTCAAGGTAAAACAAGCAATTATCTCATGAGTTGTAGCGCCATTTATTATGTGCATGCTATGTGAGCTCTGTTTATGGTTAAACACTTGATTGAGGACACTCTTGGTGCCAGTAAGGTAAATTAAGTAGCTTGTGAGCTGATGGTTTATCATACTGGAAATATAGATTCATACTTGAAAATTTGAACCTGAATTTTAGATGCTCTTCTTGCAAAGATAAATTTAATTTGATGATTGCACTTATGCATTAATTGTGGAGTGTAAAATATACCAAAAAAGATTGACATGTTTATCTGCTATGTCTGCCAATTTCCTTCATGTGTGCTAGATGTGATGAAATATGAGCATGGGTAGCACAACTTTATGGGAAGATTTCAGTGCAAGAAAGGCTCTGTGTCTCGTATCTTTCCAAGCAGTGATCCTGAAACGACATACCTGAGTTGTGAGTGTCAATATCAATCAAACAGAATAGGCTCAAGATAACCTGTTTTCTTATCTCCTATCTTATTATTACATTGCCCTATATTCAAATAAGTGTTGTATCTATTCTTTTATATAAGCCTGGAGTCTGTACACACTTGTTTTAGGTTATCCTGTGATATGAAATCATCTCAGAAAAGTTCCTTCAAAGGGAAAATTAGTGATGAAAAAAATAAAAAGTTATTCCCACTTTGTGCTGCGTTTGTTTTCTCATCACTGGAAAATAGTAAGAAGATTTTTCAATGTAAAATTTCGGTTATATTTCTTCCGCTTTTACGATCAAAACCTTCTTCTTTTTACCCCGTTTACATGGAAAGTTGGAAACAAAGGCAGACTTGGTCAGCATTTAGCTCTCTGGAACTGGTGATGGTGATTTGTTTAAACAAAATTCCTATACATATTCTAAGATAAGAGGTCCTCACAAATTATGACTACAATGAATTTTAGAAATGGCCATGACACCCTCCATCAATGTAAGGCTTTTATGAGCAGAGTATTTTCTTACCATTTTAAAGAATCTAACTTGGCTCCTTTTTTATAATCTAAAGAATCAGACTTTGTCACCACCATTCCCAATCAAACCTAGCTTTGTCCATAAGCTGTAAATCTTCGTATCCATATGGAGATGAAGCTACGAATAAGCTATAGCTGCTATGCTAAACGCGGCCTTGGTGGGAAAAATTGTGACGTTATTACTACACAAAACTGCGGCCGAAGATAATAGGATAAAGGAGGCCATGTTGAACTCGGGTCTGAAGGCCAATTCCAGTGACCGGACAAGAAGCGAAGGGAGCAGTCATGTCCAAGTGAAAGCCAGTAGGCTACACAAGCTATTCTCACTTGACAGGGATCATCTGAGAGTGAGAAGAAATGTGATAAAAGCCTGGCAACTGCAAACCAAACGGACCTTTAAAATTCTCCATCACATGGTTTAATGGCAAAATCGTGAGAAAGCAGATGGAGCAACAATGGGTGGGGAGGAGGGGGGTCCATGTATCCCATAAACCAGAGGGATGCACCGATTGGCTAGGAGGACCTCCGACCTCCGACCTCCGGTTCAAGCAAGGTAAAGCTGCACTGCAAATGGTACCCATTTGTCCGAATTTGAATTCAAATCAGATATGGTTCAGCCGAATTGAGTTGGGCCTGTTTATAATTGGATTGAGTATATGAAGGGAGGAGCGTTACATGAGCTTTTTAGGAGTTGAGCAAAGAAGCCCTGGATGCTTCTGATTTCATCCTAACTTAGGTTAAAATCGTTAGGTTAGTCACTATGATTGATGGGGCGTATTTAGGCTCCACACAAGGAGTCCGCGTTCTGTGAACCCGTGGGTTCATTGGACGCGTGAACCCGCCAATGAGAGACGACGTGGTGCAAAAACAGGCTAACGTTAACAGGCAGATGATTTGTTAATTGGAGTGTGCGGTTGAACTGGCACAAAATGACAAAATCTAAGTTAAAATCCCTCTGTCTCAGTTCGAAACTTCGAACCTTGCCTCCATCGGCACATTGCATAAGGGTGCTATCCCATATTCGCTATTGATCCAAAAAGTAGCCTATGTTGTTCATCTAGAGTTGGGCAGTGCAATCAGAAAATCACATTTAAGTCAACAGTTACACAGACAATCCAGGAAATCAGCAGACTGATATCAGTCTATCCTCCCTCTCATAGTTTCTGTATTAGATCATAAAAATTCAAGTAACCTTAACATTGAATCTGTAACAACATCAATAGTTTTCCAGTAATTTCTAGTAAATATCTAGAGTCAAATACCCTTCTCAGAGAGTGGTCTCTAAATTTTTTCCTCTTCGTTTTGATAATAAATTGAATCCAAGAACCAATAGGAACTCCTTTATATTAGAAACTTTAGCAAGTCCAGAACCTGCGTATAGTTTTCTTCTGTGTTTTAGTTGAATTTAAGCACAGTCAAACATCACGTGGCCGCCGGTGTAAGCTGAGGTTCAGGTCACCTTCGATCTGTTCAAAACAGAAAACTAGGAACACCTTTGGAAGAGGAGGAAGAAGAGGAGGAGGATGCCAGACAATGTACCGGCACCGGAGTCTCGCTGCCAATGGATGATGGCGATGGCCGGTGTGTTGTGCTCGCTGATGTATTGGAGTAAGAGGGTTCGGCGGAGGAGAAAAGAGAAAATGAGAGGCAGGGTTGAAAGTTGAAACCAAGACTGGAAGGGGTTTCAATTTAGATTTTGTCGTTTTGTGTCTGTTCAACCGCACACTCCAATTAACGGCCACCTGTCCGTTAACGTAAACCTGTTTTTCAGAGACGACGTGATCGTCTCTCATTGGCGGGTTCACAGAACACGGACTCCTCCTACACATGGAACTGGAATAGAGATTGGAGGCTTCAGTTCCTGTGTATGAATATAAAAAGATTCCAATGGATGGTTTGCGATTTGCGTACATGATCTCTGCAATCATAAATCAATGAGGGCATCGCCAAAAAAAAGAAAATCAATGAGGGCATCACACTAATTTCATTAAATCCGTTCAAAGCTAGATTACTGTTTTGTTGCCGAGGATTCAGAAGCAAAAGTTGCTGTAGACTGTGTAGACCCAGATTCCGGCTCAAACCATATACACCCTTCTCGCCACCCTGATCAACAGTTCTCTTGCAGACAAATTATTATTATTATTATTTTTTTTTGCAACTATATATGTGCTGATGATAAATAAAGCTTAGTAACCATGCTTGATTGACCACCACTTGACTTCCTAAATCTCTTAGGCCCTGTTTAGTTTGTGGGAATAGGGATTTGGAATTGGAGTCAGAATGGATTATTTTGATTCCAACTGTTTGGTATTTTAGTTGAATGGAATTAGAATTCTATTTTCATTCCTGCTGAAATGACATTCCATAAATCCCATTCCTACTGATTCTAATTTCTATTTTCATTTCTGTCTGAACCAGACTATGGAAATAGACTACTCCGATTCCAATTTTGATGCCAAAGAATTTCGGTTCCGATTTCAATTTTGATTCCAAAAAAATTCGATTTCGGTTCTGATCATGAATAAGATTTACGCAAGTGCGCCCGAGAAACAATTATGGCTTCCGCTCGCCAGTGGCAATGTATCTGTGAGGCCATATTCATCCTCGGTGTTTGGGCTCATCCAGCTGCCTCCCGCCTGCTCCAAGAGACACCCATGTCAATGTCCGTGTGGCATGATCATGAATAATGGATGCTTTGCTATGGCCGTGTGTACAGCAATGCTATTGAGAAAGGAGAAGCGTTTCAAGATATTCAAAGGCAATGTCGAATTTATCGAGTCCTTCAACAGCATCGGCCATTCCTACGAGTTAAGTCTCAACAAGTTTGCAGATTTAAGTAACGAACAATTCACATCTTCTCGCAATGGATACAAGAAATCCACCAAATCAAGGCCATCGGCTGCAAGATCATTCGCCTACAAAAACTTTGACTGACGTGCAATCTAGCATTGACTGGAGAAACTAAAGGAGCTGTTACCTCTGTTAAGGACCAAGGTGACTGTGATAAGTAACTAAATACTATTTTCTAGAGGTGTATCTGTTGTTTTTGGAAGCAGTGGAATGTTACCACTTACCAATTACCAAACTCCGTACCTGATATACTTTTCAGAGCAAGAACTAGTTGATTGTGACAATAAAAACGAAGGACGTGAAAGTGGCTTCATGGACAACGCTTTCAAATTCATCTTACAGAATGAGGGTTTCACAACTGAAGCTAACTACCATTACAAGGGGGCTGATGACTACTGTCACACTGACAAGGAAGCAATCTCTATGGCCAAAATCAATGGTTTCTGTTGCCATTGGTGCCGATGGGCAGGTTTTCCATTTCTACTCAAGCGGAGTCTTCAGTGGAGAGTGTGGCACAGTCCCAAATCATGTTGTTAGTTTGTTACTGTAATTGGTTATGGGACAAGTGATGATGGGATCAAGTATTGGCTTATCAAGAATTCCTGGGGTCCTGACTGGGGTGGGGGTGGATTCATGAGAATGCAGCGGGATGTTGACTATAAAGGTCATTGTGGTAATGCTACCAAACCCTCCTATCCAACTGCATAAAACATTAACAACCTATGGATGTTTGTCTTGAGCAACTCAGCCACTCCAGCTAGTTTTTGGTTAAGAAAGAACTGTACAGAATCAATCCTCTAGCAATGAAAATGCATGGCTATTGGCAACTAGTATTTGTAATGTAACTTTACAGTGTGAGGGTGATATATATGGTAGTGATGCATGCTTTAAAGTTTCAACTCACTCCATGAGCATCATTTTCTTTTTCATCTTTACTTTGACAGTTTAAGTAGGACTAAAGCCTGTTATGGAGATTGTCAAACAGGAAAAAGGTAATGAACCATCTCTAGGTTAGGCTTTCGTCAAATGACCCTCCAACCTATGAGATAACTGGGTCTCTTTTTACTTCCTACTCTATTTTGTTTCAAGCTGGATTTAAGATACCAGCCCTTTCCTTTGGTAAAGGCTTAAATTTTTGGGCAGTTTTATAGGAAAATAAAGGCCCAACAGATGATTTGGTCTTGCCAGTTCCTTCTGGTTTAAGGCTAAAATCCAAACAGGCTGCAGCTCTAATGTCAAGTTCCATGTAAAAGATGAAGCATTGGACACAGTTAAGGCTGAAAGTTGAAGTTTTCGAAATGAACAGGGCACCAAGTTATAAATCACAAGAGAATAGCATGTAAAGGATTTATCACTTTCATTATGTCTCTTCCAGCTAGAAGACATGCTTACCATATCTCATTTCATAAGGTTGCTTGTTTACACAGGAAGCCTCTAATACATCCATAGATTTACCAGCTTTAAAGGGTGATAAGCATTATGCCCAGATATGGTTACAATCTCTTAGACAGATAATTGGTTTCATTATGGAACCAACAATTTAGAACAATCCACAAATGCTAAGCCAAATGAAGCTCCGTATATGGAAAACTGATTGTAGTGGTCAGTAAAACTGCTTCTGTTATCCATGTACATGATAGAACAAGACATCCATGGACACAAATTATAAAAACATATAGCTGATAACACTTAACAGTATCTAGAGGTGTGTAATTATTTAAGATGCAGCATATCATTTTTAAGAATCGTATAATGTCTAAACTTCAACTTTATTCTCAAGAAAAAAGATTGACTTGATTTGCTTGTTTTGGCAAAAGATCCTGAAAACAGTAAATACTAGTAAGAAGGAAAACATACACACACACACACACAATGAATGGGGATGTGAGAAAAAGTAAAATTGATTAGAGACAAAAAAAATCTCCCTTGATGAAATAGCAATTACATTTGTCAGATAACAGTTTAACACTGAACCAAATTTTCACCAATGACTAGTGCAGATATATCCTATATACCTGCTGAAAGTAATTCGTTTTTAATCATGATGGATCAAGCCCGCTTCCCACTATTTGGGTTAGACTTTGGGCAGAGAACCTTCCGTCCCTTGGCACGCCTACGCTTCAACACAGCTCTCCCACTAGTGGTTCTCATTCGCCTTCTGAAACCATGAGTCCTAGCCAGTGACTTTCTGGACCTGTTCCTCTTGGTCTGGCACAGAGCAGCCTTCCCTGCCCTCACCACTAGACCTCTACCGTTCTCTCTTCTCACCACATTGTTAAATCTCAAATCAACCCCCAATGACAGACCTGCAAACCATGAATAGGTAAAAACGAAAAGCACTATTTTGTGTTATACATCTCATTTTCCATTTTCCTTTATTTCAATGGTGGATTACATATGCTAAGTTACACCATGTTCCCCAATCCACAATATATAGATTCTGAGGTATCACATAGCCCAGATACATGAACAGCTACAGAGTAACATTACAGTCTAGTGAAGAGGGCAGAAAATTTAACAATGTGTGCAGGTAGATTTCTGCAAAATGCATGTAATGCAGCTCTTCTAATTGTAAGAACGGGATCCCACTCATTTGCTAATCTTTTTCAAAATTTACCTAGAGATCTTATTGGACCGGATAGCATTAAAATGTTACAGTCCCAAATTCTAATACAAAGCAATGATAATCCCTATTCCCTACTACAGTACTACGCTACGTAGCTACCCACTAAAGAAATCAAGTTTAATTAATAAAGAAGAACCCACGAATCGGAATCATTACATATGCAACTGCTGAGTTCTGAGCTCAATCTGGATAAATAGAAAGAAACCTAGTTCCCTTTACGCCCAAATATCGTAAAAGAAATTAAGAATCTAAAATTCTTATACAATACAATGAATCACTACTTCATTGCCTACTAAAATAAGAAAATTTAGTTAAAAGAAAATAATTCATGATAGATAACCATTAGACATGACAAGTTGCAAGCTCAATCTGGGTTTTCCCTTTAAAAGGGGATTTAATCGATAGATATTATAATGGGTTACCTGCGAATGAAGAAGGGAGAGAGAGTGATGTTGAAGGAACGAAAGAGCAGTGAAGAAGGCCAGAAGTAGTTTTGGAGTTCACCAAGTTCAGAGATGCAAAGCTTCTCTTTGTGCCCGTAAGGAAAGTGAGAGAAGCTGAAGGACTGCAATTACTGATTCTCGCGCTTGACAGAGATACTAACGATATCGAAGTCATTCTTCCTCCTTTGCTCACTGTCTCCTCAATTCCTTTGGTGTGTCCCTCCTTTGCTTATCGCCTTATCTAGATTTCTACAACAAAACGACTCTCTCTCTCTCTCTCTCTCTCCTTTCGTTTTGGGCCTAATCCGCCTGAGACTCTGGGCTAGGGGATACAGAACTGAACACATGGTTTCGAACTGGGCCCCCATGTCTTATCCCTTCTTATATATTCTTTTTTATTTTGATGGTACCCTGAACCCATGTAGATTGTCACATTGCATTATCCTTTTGGGTCAATCACAAAATGAAAATGAAAACCGAGAGCTGTGACAAATTTTGAAGCCTGAGGTTTTGTGTCTTGTGGGCCAAAGGCCCAAAGCCCAGTTATGGATGGGCCAGGATCAGTTCACTTCCCGCCAATTATGGTTGAGACAAAATTTGAAAGTATTGTTGGCTAAAATTGAATTAAGCCCCCTTAAACCTTGATGACCACATAACATTCCTCTCATACCAATTGTTACCACATTCACACTAGAGCCAATTAAACCCCTCCCGGCCTCCCCCTTTCTGGAATTCGGATTAGATGAACGCGATGACTGTTCAGCAGGCTGTGGAACCAATGATGAGATTTTACGTTAGTAATTAATTCATGAGCCCCACTGTGAATGGTATGGGCCCCTTCATTTAAATACTGGCATGAAACCTTATTATTGATTCCACAGCCTGCTGAACAACCATTGCGTTCAGCCAAACCTTGTTCCCCTTTCTGACCCATTTTTGTGGTTTGAGCCAACACTCCCCTTGTGAGTTATACATCTTTCATTTTCTTACTTGGGGGTCATGGGCTTGGTTAGTCTATTATTCTTCAAACAGTGCTGGCTCGTTGTTTGCCTGTATTTAGCTGGGGGTAAGTTGGTCAACACATAAATTGACCACGATACCCACATTGGTTTGCCGCTATATTGGATTTCAAAGCAACCAAAGATATATTGAATTGCAAGGTGGATAAACAACTTACCCGCACGTTAATAAGCACTCTCCCTCCCACTGCTCTCTTTACCCAAATAACTTATAACATATAAGAATTCTGGAATGTCACTTATCCAGATAAGTTTTATTTAGGAAACATTTGCCTGGATAAATATACTTACTCACGTAAGTAAAACAACGGAAATGAAAGAACCACTTTGGCCAATGGTCGGGGGCAGTGCTTAAACAAACCAGATTCAAGCTGGCTGGATGTTGAGGCCCATCAAGCTATTTATACCACACATTCAATGGGGTAAGCCTAAATGATCACCTCATCCACCTGATATAAAGTTATGTTATTAGCTGATGTACTTCCTCCTCTGATACTTCGTTAGATGGATTTATTAAAGCTATGTTTGATTTGAAGGAAAAAGTAGGGAAAGGAAGGAAAACTTATCCAAACCTTGTACAGGTTTTCCTATCTTCCTCTACTATTTTTTTCCTTCAAATCAAACATAGCTTAAAGGAAAAGGGTTGGATGTGGATAATTATGACCCATAACCAGTATGGGATTCTATAGCTTACCATCTGTCCTAAATAGGGCCACCTTGAGGATTAACTAGGTCAAAAAGTATCAACTTAAATTCTTGCTCACATCTTTTGTTAAAACCAAATAACTAGACGGTGGCCAAAAATTCTATTTTAAGAGTCCATTTGGTTTACAGTTGGAATTGAAATCGAAATCAAAATTTGTAGGAATCGGAATCAGAATGGTCTATTCTCATACTCCATTTGGTTCAGACAGGAAAATGAATGGAAATTGAAACTAGCAGGAATGAGATTTCATGGGGGAAGGTCATTCCACTAGGAATGAGAATGGGATTCCGATTATGGTTCTGTCCAATCAAACAGTTGGAATTGGAATGGATCATTCCCGATTCATTGCAGACCCCTTTTTCTACGAGCTAAACGGGCCTAAGTGTTTGAAAGATCTGGAAATGAAGCATGAATGAATCAGGTGGTCTAAAAGACATCTGATCATGCTGATTCTTGGCTTGAAATCTATCGATCAGAATATTGAATTCTTTAATAATTACTTGGATTTTTGTTTGATCAAATCCCTTGAAACAGGAGGAAGTGGATCTTCATTTTCTTATCTTTTTTTTTCCCATGAAACTGTTGGTAGAGTGGCCATAGGCCCTGGTTTTGATCCTCAACATGTTGGAATATCCAACGGCCATGTGACAAGACACATGTTGATGGAAGATGATTATTTTATGGTTATCTCTATGCAATACTTTCACACACAATCATTCACTTATTTTTCTCAAATTATTATCTATTTATTTATTTTTTATAAAAAGAAATTTATTTGATTGTTTACTTGAAAATGTTTTATGAATAGAGATACCAATATTGTTGGATTATTATGGATCCTAGTTCCAGCACTTACTGGGTCAATGGATATCCATTTGACCTAGTGTAGATTGGATGACCAAATGGTTAGATCCTTCGATTAACATGAGACACTTGTCTCAAATCTGATGGAGCATGAATTTTATTGTTGAGGAGCACTTATCTCAATTGGTTATTTTGGTTACTGTTTGTTCCTAATAACAGGGAACTTAACCTTGGAGAAGCAGACTATATAAGGGATCACTCCCAAGTGCTTCAAATACATGAGATAACGGAAAAGATCCTCTCAGCTCCAGTTCTAATTAGATTCAGCAGTTATCTCTTACATTTTGTTTGAGAAGTTGGTGTCTTATGTGGCAGCTACAGTTTTCTCTTTGTATGCAGGTTTGGAGCGCCCAAGCATCAGCCGTCCATCTCTGCATCTTCATGGTCCTACAGAAACTGAATTCCTTAATTATGAAAAGCTTTTCAACATAAACAAACAAGCGTTCATCACTTGTTCAGTGTTTACAAAGTATTATAATTTAAAACTGCCATTTAATTTCTCGATTGTTAGGTGGTTAAAGAATGGGATAATCACTTAATAAATGTGCATACAACAACTCATTCCATGTATCCGGTACTCCAGGTAAACACCAATGGATGCAATCGGCATAAGTAATGGGATCAGCTTTTTGTTCACTTGTTAAGAGCTTGCCTCTCCGCTCTGTGTAAACTGATGTATGACCATCTTTCCGAAACTCCGACATCTGGGTGATGTTTAAAAAGCTCACTTCTCTCTTCAACTCCTGTAGGACATCCCCCAGTATTCCCATGATTTCCCGACTCGAACCAGTTCCCCAGTATGGACGACCTTCGATTGGGTACGATTCATTGAAGCAATTTCCATCACCTTCTGTCCTCCATTCCCAACTCCTGCAAATGAAATTTGCAGATGATAATTAGTATTACTTGTCAAAGAAACCATTATCGATCAGAATGTATTTTTCTTCTTAATTAAATACACACACCCACTTTAGTGAACTCACCACAGATGAGTTGGCGACAGACTCATAAAGAAGACTCTCTGAGTGTGGGGATCCACCTTAGATTCAATCCAGTTTGCCCAAGTTTCTAGTGCTAATCTATATGCAGTTGTGACATTGTATTCTGTGACATCATTTAGAGACCCATTTCTGAAAATGAACCCAAAACGGAAATTTCAGTAATAGAAAGCAAATTATTAAATACCAACCAATGAACTTTTTGTCTGCCCAAACTGATTCACTTGTGTATGTGAAAATCATTTCGAGTTTGAAAAGAATAAGAAAGCAAGTTCTTCTGTTCTTCTCACGTTGCATTGATCACAGGCTTGTACATCCACCAGACGTAGCTTTCGAACACTAGTACATGGACTCCCTCCCAGTGTCGGCTATGCTTGGCAATGGAATCGAGCTTGACAAGTCGTCTCTGTACGGTGTGGTTGGTTGCATGATCCGAGTTGGATTCCACAATGAAGGGAGCCCAATAAAACTCGATGGTTGCGTTAAATTCCTGAAATCCAGATCATAGAATGAAAACGATTGATTTCAATTTATCATCCCACCAAACTGCCCCAACAACCCCCAAAAAGTTGCTTATGGCCGTGATGGGATTCCCTACCAGAAGACAGCTAAAGATAGGAAGTTGCTTAATGGTTAATTCATGGCCATCTACCATTGTTTCACTACCCAGTCAAGAGCTGAACTTAACCATTGTTGATTATCATCAGGGGGATCACTGAAGGTTTGCTTTGTGTAAGCTGTATGTTGACCTATATTGCATGATTAATTAGAGAAGAGGGAAGACATACATAAAGAGTACCTCTGCTCTGAAAATCTTCATGGGAGGATGCCTGTGGATGGATTTCTTTCCATCAGGAATGACTGACTGTACAAGGCAGACCATGGATTCCCATTGGGTTCTCTGAATTGAGTCGCCTATGAACATTAGTCTTTTGTTTCTCAAAGCCTCCAGCAGCTTCTTGGCATCAAACCTGAGAAATGGGATGGTCCAATCAGCGGGCCTTACCAAGAAAAACAGCTACTAGACATGAATCAGGATGACTTTCACATACATGGAAGCCAGTAAATGTTAGGTATGGACTGTGGATCAGTAGTGTATAGTCCTGTATGGTGTATAGAGCCTCAATATGTATGATTGTAATAGAAATCTTACTGGTGTAAATGCTTGTTACCTTGGTAGTTTGCACTCATAAGGCTCCCATCTCCAATTCTGATAAAGAGAATCAGGCCTCCCATTCTTCTGGCATGTCACCTGTTTGGTTAAGTAGGGGCAGCTCTCTTCAGTATACAAGGGATGGGATGCATTGTCCAACACCCATCTCCCATCAAACACATTGCACCAGCCCACAATGGATTCATGGCCAGAATTATCAATTGATGAACCCTGTTCTTCGCTTTCGGATGGTAAAATCTCCAGAGAATCTGACTGGAGAGAATGGGCATTTGCATTGTTTCTCCAACAGAAGTTCTCTGAGACTAGCCTCACTGTTCCAAATAAGAGAAGAGAAACCAAAGCAAAGGGGTAGATGGACAGGATCCGGTGATCAGATGAGGGCTGGGTGGCCATTGTGGGTGGGAGGAACGAGATGAATTTTCTGCATTTTAGTCACCATTTGAGAAAAGTTGTTGTTGTTAGGTTTACAAGTGTATATTGATTCTTGAATTTTAAGCATTTGAGAAATTCTGGATGCAACCACCGGTTGGTAACTTGGTAAGGTCAAGTTAGAATATGAGATCTTCCATTGTTGGAGAAGAACTGAATGTCAAATAGAAAGATGAATTTGCACGCCACGTTGTGATGTGATTACTGATCAGACTATCTGAATTCTGGAAGCACAGACCTTGTCCTTCATGGATTGAGCCCTTGAATCCTAGGAAGGATAAAATGCATACACTGAACAGGGTTTTAGAATTTTGGGCTTTGGGATATGACTCAAGTGCTGTCCTTTTGTGAAAGGAAGGCTCCATGATGGCCAAGCCCATGAGCTAGGCATAGGCCACTGTTTTAAAAGCATTCTCTGGAAGCTGTGATTAAATATGGGTAAGGCATGTGACATATGATCTCTCTTGCCAAGAAGTTCATCCATATTATTCAATTCATATAAACCCTTCATTGATTTTTGTAGGGTCTTTGCCTCTCTCTCTCTCTCTCTCTATAGTAATGGTTTTGAATAAAGTAATAAGAAAGGAACATAGGTGGCCGACATGCCACCTTAAATTCGGATCTTGTAATGTTGTGTTCAAACATCTCTCGACTCTGTCAAACCTATAAATCCCAGTGTGATGACGACATGACCAATCGAAAGCTTCAGAATTTTATATCAAAATTACCTGATTTTCTCAGAGAAATTGCCTCTATAGGCCAAAGTTTAGTGCAGGTATCCTTATAGAACAATTGGTAAGCTTGTCAAGTGCAAGTGCAAGTGCAACTCCACCATCTAAACTGGGTCCATCACTGATTGATTATTCGACTGAGGTCCAGTACTCAAATCTAATATATTCATCCAGTACCAAAGAGCTGTGACCCGTGGGCTCAGGCCCAGGGAGAGCTACTTCTCACAATAGCCTGATAACAATATCAATTAGAGTTGAGAAAGCTAAATTCAGCCTTGAGAGCCCAATTGTGGTCGGCAGGGTTATAGAAGCAGAGGTGATAATAACCAAAAAAGGAGCAAGAACAGAATGGTAAGTAAGGGTGTCAATAGACCGGTTTTGGATTGGACCCCATCCAGTCTAAAATTAATTTAGATGGATTGGACGGACCAACAAGACATTGGATTGGACCAATCCGGTTCAAAATATTTATTAGATTGGATTGAATGTGGTCCATCCATAACAAATATATATTGGATTGGGTTGGATTAAGCCAATATCTGATCCATTGCTATAAGATAAAAATATGTATCCGTAGACCGGATTTGGGTTAAAACCAATCTAAATCAGAATAAATTTCAACAGATTGAACGGTCTAGACATTGAATTGAACTGATCCAAATTGATTCAAAACATTCATTGGATTAGATTAGACCTGGCCCAGTTATAATGGATTCACATCGGACTGGATCGCATTACATCAAATCCAATCCAATTGACACCCCTAATGGTAAGTCATCCCCCATGATGACCTTCATGTTTCATATTCTTATTCTTAAAAGATGGACAAGACAAATAAAGGTTCTTATCGTAGACATACATAACGACAATGGACATAGGACTAAAATATGTCCATAAAGCAGAGGTGTGGTGAGAATGAATAAGAAGCTTGTAACGTAACAGATTTATGAATTTACACTTGATCTTGAAGTGGGACCACTAAATAATAGATCACTGGAGCCTGATCGCCCTAATCTTGGGCAGATGCTAGGTTACAGGGACCATGTAGATTTTGCCTATTAGGCAAGGGTTTAAAAACTGACGTAAAAATTGAACCGCTTTGACCACCAGTTTTTTGGTCAGTGGTTCAACCATTCAGTCGAATGCATCAACCTCTACTAAAAATGAAAAAATTGACCCAGAAACCATTTTTTGGGTCGAATATTTTAGCAGTTCAACCATTTAGATAAGTCATCAGCGGTCAATGATTCAATTGCCCATATCAATGGCATTTCAAAAACCATGGGTTTTTTTTTTCTTTTTCCTTTTCTAATTATTTTGTTAAAACAAGACATATCTGATTAATTAATGAACAAGGATGCTTTATATTCTATGATAGAATCGGATTGCGTTCAGAAAAAGTGAACACATGGTAGATTCCGGCTACACTGTGGCCTCTGATAATGGCTCAAATTGCTGAACAAAGATATGTTGTTTTGTCGTTTAGTAAATAAAATATTCAAGGGTATATATGCTGATATATGAAATTTCAACTTAAGGTACTTGACAGTTTGTGAATTATCAATACAAATATTATAAAAATTGTTTTATCACATCACATAATATAACCATTTTTATTAAAAAATATAGAGTAAATTGCATAATAGTATCCCATACAGGTAGTCTCATTTTAGACCCCGGACTTTAAAATGTACTATTGTAGTCCCTAAATTTCCAAATACTGCTACTTTAAGTCCATTCATCATTAGCATTATGCTAATTATCTGATTAATGTTACATGTGATTACAAACTTTCAAAATCCCAAAGTAAAGTTATAATTTTCAAAAGAAGATGATATTCATCGTCTTCTTCCTCAAGAATAAGCCAAAACAGTGGTGAACACAGTCCTAAAAACTTGAAGATGTGGAGTACAAATACAAATATGTAGAATGCAAAACCTTATATTTTGCATTATTTTATATGTATTTGCATAGTATATAATTGCATTTGTACTCTTTCCAAACTCAGCCTTAGTGGAAAATCAGTTTTTACTAGGATTAATACTTGCTTTTTGAAAAATATTTGTTTTTCATAGCCATTTACATGCAACTAAATACTGTAAATTAGTATTTTTGAGAAGATCATTCCTTCATTTACTTGCCTCCAGTTATGTAAAACAAAACTAATTAATTAAAATGCTCTTCAGTCTAAGGCTTAGACTCTAAGCTACAGATATAAGAGAATTGCTAACATCCATTGCTTTACACATGTATGCCAAGCCAAGAATACTTGCTTGTGTCACTTCAGATGGGAATGGTGAAGAGTGTTTCATTAATTGCACAACTAATCATACATGGCCTAATGCAAAAGAGTAGATGTCAAACATGATCATGAGCCCGACATGGTAGAAAAAGTGAACACATGAAGATGCCTGAAACAAGGAAGAAATAAGAGAAGGCAAGGGAAAATAAAAGGCTTTAAGACCAGAAAGCATAAATATCACATAACTCTTTCTCTGGGTAAGAAGGCCTTTTATAATCACCTGTTGCACTCACTCCCAAGTTTCTGTCAAGTCAGGTATAACCGCCTCTGTGGGGAGCAGACATAACCGCCACTATCCTCTCTGTCAGGGCCGTCTCTACCACAACTGAGATGGCGGTAGCAGGTGGCCGTTACAACGTGATTGCTATCTATTAGATCCAGGCCAGTCAGGCGTGCTGCCTCAGAGTACGTACCTGTTAGGTACGGTTTCACAGTTGCGCGACCTGGAGCCGAGGTGCTGGAGTGGTGCGCGAGGTGAAATCTTGAGTTCGGATGAGAGTATGGCCTACTGTCCTGAGGTGCCGAGATACGACCCGGACTGACCCGAGGTGGGCTAGTCCGGGCTTCGCCCCTCGGGCCTGTTAGCTTCGGGATTCTTAGGAAGAGCTCGGGTTTCACCTCCCTGGAAGTGTGGGTTCCTTTTGGGGAGCTCGGCCTCCTCTTGGGGAGCTCGGGAGTTCGGGTCTCTTCTTGGAGAGCTCGGGGAGCTCGGGCCTCTTCTTGGGGTATGGTCGTGCTGTCACCGTGCCGAGCTAGCATTCCTGTTAGGTCACCCCGGTTTCTTCCACGTATCACATAGCCAAGGGGTCGGGCCAAATCTACCTCCATCAATTGCCCCCCACTCCCCGTGCCCGGGGTCTTGACCCGGCTTGGGGAGTTCATGGACTGACGGGTGGATTTGCCTCGTGGCGTGCTTCGTCCAGTTCGGAGATCCCCCGGTCTGACTCGCCTATGCTCTTGGCTTAACCAGGCTCAGTGCGGCTCGACCAGAGTCAACCCGGGTCGCGTACAACTCACGCGTGGACGTCAAACGATTTATCAACTCTCGAACGTCAAAAATTCGCACTAAACTGATTTCACCTTGGGGGTCGTGCAACCGGTTTTCTGAGAGCTAGTTCGAGTAGCTTAGATAATCTTATAGACGGGCCTGAGGTGGAAACCTCGGGTCAAGCTGACTCTTTTGACAGCCTTCTAGATGAGCCCGAGGTATGGCCTTCAGCTCGGGTCACCCCTGGTAGCCTAGAGTCCACTTCTCGTCGGGTTTGGATGCCGGACACGTTCGTACCCTCCACTATGACGTCTGAGAGACTTCGGTCCCTTGTTCGTCAGTTCAACCTGCCCGAGGAGTATGCATATAGCTTACCTTCGGGCAACTTCCCTTGGGAGCACAGTCTAGATGAGACCGTGGTTTTTCGGGAGCAGCTCATTGCCGGGCTGCGCCTTCCTCTCCACCCCCTAATCGTCGAAGTCTTGAACCACTTCAGCGTCTCAGTCGGTCAGCTTCACCCGAACTGTATTCGTAACGTCGTCGGGACCATATCCCTCTGCTGCGAATACGTTATTCCCTTGGACTTAGAAATTTTTTCTGCCCTTCTCATGCTTAAAAAACAAGCGAGCTTCCTTCCCGAGCACAGGCGGGCTTACTACCTGTCTCCCCGCCCGGGATTTAAACTTCTTCACAAACTTCCAAATAGGGTCCCGACGTGGAAGCGGGACTACTTCGTCGTCCGAAGTGCTATGGGGTGGCCATTTCCTACTCATTGGAGGGTGGTTGTCCCTGATCCCGGCGTCATGTTAGATAAAGACATGGTGGAGACCTTTCAGTCCTGGGCCCAGGTCGGGCTCGATTGCGGAGATTACCTCTCAGAGGCTAAGCTTATTCAGGCCGGTTTGAGTTCGGGTAGGCTTCTTTACTTAGTTCTCTCTTTTTTTTTTTTGCTGATGCCGAGCTCTTTTTCGCAGGTACCATGGAGGCAGAGAAGACTCGTGG